CGCGCCGTCCTGGACCTCGCCCGCCGCCTCCGCGGCCTTCGCGGCACTGGTGCCAGCGCCCAACGGGAAGCCGCAGCACGCAGCCGTCCTCACCCCACTGCCGCGCAGCAACTCAACGCAGTGCTTCACGCGGCTGCCGTTCACGCAGACCGCGTAGAACTTGTGCTGCTTCGCCTCAGCGCACAGCTGCTTGACAGACTCCAGTGTCGCCTCCGGCTTGAGCACAGTGTGGTCGATGTAGTCAGCGAGGTTGACGTCATCGCCGGGGAGACGGCCGCGCCACGAGCCGTCTGTCACCTTCAGGTGCGGGAACTTCGCCTCCAGCTCCGGCATCTCCAGCTCCTTCGCGAAGAAGCGGACGCGCTCGAGGATCTTCGCGTTCAGCTTGCCGGTGAATCCCGGGCGGTCGGTCATGTGGAGATCAGCCATGATGCTTAGCTTCTTTTTCGGTTTGTGGAGTCGATTAACGTGTGGACTGATGTAGAGCCTTCTGTATGTGTGTTCCGCGGCACGGCCCACAAAAAGATACAACGACAATTAGAGCAGAGAAACAAAGGGTCACGTAGAGCAACACACAACCTCCTTGAGCGAGGTGCCGCACAAGATGCCTCGCAGTCACAGAGCCGCACCAACCGCAGCAGCAGCGACAGATCCCCACAGCTTCACCTCCAGAGTGGTGAAGAGAAAAAAACAAAATAAAAAATAAAGCTTCGTTTTCTTTTGCATATTTCACCCACACACGACGAACGGTCCCTCTCACATTTCTTACCAGTTTATAAGACAACGACTTTATCATAATTTTCCGGTTTAATTTCATATCTACCAAGCATAGAGTGTTCCGAAGAGCGTAAGTTCTCAAGGACACCCGCCCAGCCCACACCCCTCCGCCCCCGTGCGGAGAGACCGTGTTAAGGGCGCCCTCAGCACCTCCTTTTCGCCCATTTCATAACAACTCACTCTTGGGTGTTTGCTTTGGGACAGCAGCTACGAAAGATCCTGATATTTTTGACAAAAATAAACAAAATAACATGCTCCATAAAGCTTCTCTCTCGGCCCTGCTTTACTTCATCAAGAAAGGTGAGGTATAGAAGTTTCTTTGTGTGTAAGAGGCGCGCGGCGTATCGTAGCCATGTTAGCCGTACCGCATCATTCGGTAGTTACGCGCTCATCCTTAACGGGAGTAGTTGTGGACGACGCCACATTCCTGTTCGCTAAGGGTTAGTTAAAGGTTGCTCTTGGGGCTCTTCGTGGACACAATGCTGATGCCGTTGCTCGTGCCAATGCGGCAGACACCGGCCTTCACGTACTGCAGGGCCGTCGAGCGATCGCGCACACCACCGCTCGCCTTCACCTTCGCGGCGTTGCCGACAACAGCCAGCATGATGTCAATCGCCTCCGGTGTGGCGCCGCCGGTGTTGAACCCCGTCGACGTCTTCACGTAGGTCGCGCCGGCCGCCACCGACAGAATGGCGCAGTCGATGATCTCCTCCGCCGACAGCAGGCACGTCTCAAAGATCACCTTCGACGTGACGTATGGCGGGCAGGCAGCAACGACGGAGCGGATGTCGTTGAACACGAGGCGGTAGTTTTTGTCCTTCAGCGCGCCGACGTTCAGCACCATGTCGATGTCCTCCGCGCCGTCCTGGACCTCGCCCGCCGCCTCCGCGGCCTTCGCGGCACTGGTGCCAGCGCCCAACGGGAAGCCGCAGCACGCAGCCGTCCTCACCCCACTGCCGCGCAGCAACTCAACGCAGTGCTTCACGTGGCTGCCGTTCACGCAGACCGCGTAGAACTTGTGCTTCCTCGCCTCAGCGCACAGCTGCTTGACAGACTCCAGCGTCGCCTCCGGCTTGAGCACAGTGTGGTCGATGTAGTCAGCGAGGTTAACGTCATCGCCGGGGAGACGGCCGCGCCACGAGCCGTCTGTCACCTTCAGGTGCGGGAACTTCGCCTCCAGCTCCGGCATCTCCAGCTCCTTCGCGAAGAAGCGGACGCGCTCGAGGATCTTCGCGTTCAGCTTGCCGGTGAATCCCGGGCGGTCGGTCATGTGGAGATCAGCCATGATGCTTAGCTTCTTTTTCGGTTTGTGGAGTCGACTAACGTGTGGACTGATGTAGAGCCTTCTGTATGTGTGTTCCGCGGCACGGCCCACAAAAAGATACAACGACAATTAGAGCAGAGAAACAAAGGGCCACGTAGAGCAACACACAACCTCCTTGAGCGAGGTGCCGCACAAGATGCCTCGCAGTCACAGAGCCGCACCAACCGCAGCAGCAGCGACAGATCCCCACAGCTTCACCTCCAGAGTGGAGGAGAAAAAATAACAAATTATGTTTCATTTTATTTGAGCGTTGGATCTACACATGACGAACTGCCCCTCTTACATTTATTTTAAGAATAGTTTATTCGGATTTGTCGTTTTTGTATGTGTGGGTGTGTAAGAGGCGCGCGGCGTATCGTAGCCATGTTAGCCGTACCGCATCATTCGGTAGTCACGCGCTCATCCTTAACGGGAGTAGTTGTGGACGACGCCACATTCCTGTTCGCTAAGGGTTAGTTAAAGGTTGCTCTTGGGGCTCTTCGTGGACACAATGCTGATGCCGTTGCTCGTGCCAATGCGGCAGACACCGGCCTTCACGTACTGCAGGGCCGTCGAGCGATCGCGCACACCACCGCT